TTTGTAAAAACTTTAATTGAATTTCAATAAAGTTAAAGGCATGGCCTTACCATTAATATTTAAAAAAAAAAAAAAAAAAAAAAAAAAAAGAAAGTTAAATCCAAATTATATAGAGATATAATAAAGAATTTTATTGAAAATTTTTACTATATATATAAAAGTTACAATCAGTATTAATTTAAATCTAAATATAAAAAAATAGTTACAAAATAAAAATCATATTAAAATTATCTTGAACAAAAGCTTTATTCTAACTATAAATTGTAGGCAAGATACTTAATTGCAAAGATATTTACAGTAAAGGTTAAGTTAACCCAATGAGTAAATCTATTAATAGTGTTTTGAAAAACTTCTAGGCTAGAGAACACTATTAAAGAAATTAGTAAATTAATTAAGAATAAATTAGATAAAAAGGCACAATATAGTTACCTTAATTATTACTATAGTTTAAACCCATTAATTGGTCTTCCATCAGCCTACAATACTGTTTTTAAAAATATTGATTTTTCTTTAAAAAAATGTTTAGCATCTATTCTATTGTCTCTTCAAAAGGCACAAATAAAACAAGCACTATTATATCAAAGTTTATTAATTACAATCAATAAAATAAGGTTCTATAATATAGTTAAAAATTTGAATAAGATAGTTAGTATTTGCTAACAAATTATATTTGTGTTGAAAGGTTAAAAAACCAGAAAATAATTTTGAAGATGCAATTGAATATATATATAATATGCCATAAATAAAGTTGCAAGAACTTTTGTTAAATATAAATAATAATAAAGTTTAGAAGATATAGGAAATTAATCACATTACAACAATATTCAAACTACATTATGTAGCAATTCTCTTTGATTTAACAATGCTTTGTATATGTATATACATTATTAATCAAGAGATGCTATGTTGACATCAGTATCAGGTTCTTCTTCGATCAAATAAAACAATATTTCATATAGGTTTTATTTATTCTTACTGGTTCAAAGCAATACTATCTGAAATGTCAAGTTATATTACAATTGTTCAAAAAGTTAAAATCAATACTACCAAATTACTGTATTATATTGATCAAATTCAAATGAATAATGTATATACTTCAACTGTTCAAAAAAAAAGTTTATAAAATAATTAAATTAAGTACTACAATGTTTATTGTAAAAACTAGTGTTTAAATTGCTATGACAGAAAATATAACATCTGAATTGACTAAACTTACAAAATTTATAATGAAATATTATCACAATACTGGATTAAATACACAAGAATTTCAATCTATATTATATTTAAATATTGGAATTAGTAGATCATTGTTTAATTTAGAAAATAATGAGCAACATTTTTTAGATAATATTAGTAAACTTCCTGAAATAACAAATTCAAAATATCATAAACCAAAAGGTCATCCTCTGAAGCATCTTAAATTATCAACTAAAGAAAGTAATAACCTATACATATTATCATTATCTAAAATTTGTAGCTACTGCTAAAAAAAAGAACATAATATTAGAGGCTATAAAAAACAGAAAGTTAACAAAGAAAATAGTAAGTATTAACAGATTACTAATTTGTTGCAGTAATGATAGATGTTAGTATTACAATTAAGGTTAGTGAAATTTAGATAATTAAGTTGTATATATGCATATAATATTAGTGTTAATGAATTAATACTTTGATTATTACCTTATTTGATACAAAATTTATAAATTTGTTGTCAAAGAAGTACATATTCTTACTTGTTTTATTCTATTATAGTTATGAATATATGAATGTTTGTTACCTGTTATCTGTACATATGCATCTAAGGATTTACTAATTTTTTTCCAAGTTTCTATTGGCTAAAATTATTTATACCAAATTACATGTTATTTTATTCTTAAAAAGTTAAGTTTGATATCAAAATTAATAGACAATTTTATATTAAAATCTTACAAGAAATTTTTTTTTGTTAGTATATAAAAGGCAAGTTCTTAGATAAAATTTTGATATAAATAATTCTTTTTAAAAACAAGCAATTATTTTTTTTAATTTTATGTACACCTGATCTTGTTCTCTGATTTGCTAGAGATGCATTATGTTATTAAAGATAGTTAATTAGAAATGTGATTTACTTATAGCAAATAGTAACTTAAAAGAAAATTAGTGGACCCTATATCTAATATTTAGAAAAATCTGTAAAAGTATAATAATAAATTTGTACTTTAAAAACAATATCTTATTGGTTAAATAAAATTACATGATAGATAATGATCACTACAGATAATAAATAGCAAACCTTTCTGAAAAATCTGTAAAAATATAATGATAAATTTGTATTTTAAAAATAATATTTTATTGATTAAATAAAATCATATAATACAGGCAATGATTGCTGCAAGCAATAAATAGAAAACCTCTTTTACATAATAAATAATTACCTTTAAAGTTGAAAAATTACTATAATTTTATATAATTTTATATAAGTTTGGATAAGTTTCTAAAATTAAAATTATATATAATTTTAATTATATAAATAATTTTTACAAAAAATTTTATAAAGCTAATATTAAAAATAAATAAAAATTACAATTCCAAACATAATGATAAATTTCTATTAATGATAACTAAACTTTTGTAATATTAAAAAATTATTATGTGATAATGCACTATTTAATATAAAATTATATTACAATTTCATAAGTTACAATATAATTTATATAAAATGTAACAAAGTAATTTATGTAATACATTTCTAATTACTTTGCCTATCTCTAAACTTTATATTAATAGTGAATAATTATATAATAATTTTATAAAAGTTAGCTAGCACTATTATGTTCAGAATTGTAAATTTAATACTAGCATTATATAAATTTTTTGCAAAAATTATTTATATAATAAAAAAATTATATAAATTTATGATAATTTTTTAACCCTATATTTAGGTCAGATTCATCAGATTTAGGCCAACATTTAGCAAACCAAGTCAACTATTTTTGACCAAAATTTTATAAATAGAAATTCATTTGATTAGCTAATATACATTAATTATTTAAGTAACTTATTTATATATTTTAGAGTACTTTTTAGAAACTCTAATGTTATATATTTAAAAAATAAAAATTTTTATATATAACACTTATTTAGAATGTCAAAAAACTACCTTAAAAAATAATTTCTAATAATTTCTAATTTAAATAGTATTAGCTTAGTAGTAACTTTTTATAATAAGTATAGAAAAAAACTTAAAGAACCATGCATTAGTAAATTTGCAAAGGAAAATTTAGCATTTGGCAAAATGTTACTAAACTCATTTTGTTTTGAGAAGCAAATAACAAGGTACTTCTAACTACATTAAAGAAAATAACATTATATGCTTTATTTGTTACAATGTAATTATTGTTAATGTAGTTCTTGAATTTTAGTATATACATTAGATTCATATTCTTATATTGAGTCTATTGAGTTAGAAACTACTAATGAACATATTTTTTTGTTTTTTTCACAGACTATAAGGATAATTACAAACATTTTTTTATAAAAGAGAGCATAAATTATTACTAACAATTTGGAATTTTAAAGAATTTCATATATTTATAAAATTAGAAAATAAATGCTTAAGGTTTTTCTTTGATGAATTATATCTGTTAACTAATCTAGTATCAAAAAACAAAAATATAATAGAATAAGTATTATAACAATTATTATTTTTAGGAAATAGTGCTTATATAACATTCTTAAAAACTCTCTCTGCTGATCCTCAATTTCTAAACAAAGCCAAACAAACATAGTAGAAAAACAAAAAAACAGCTTAAAAACTCCAGTTTGGGCTCTAAGAAAAAAGACTCAGCACACAAAATATAACAACTTTACTTCAACAATAGTATAAGTAAAGTCTTCTTAAACAAAAGCTTTTGCTAGTTTTATGGTTATTGAAAAATTTTTGGAAAAATTGGAAAATGGCACTAGACCCTGAAAAACAGATTTGAAGCATGTAACCAGTCATCAATACAAACAAACAACACGTCACATAATACTAAACAACAAATAGTAACAACAAATAGCCTTATTAGGAAATAACAGTTAAGTACAGCATATAGAACAAACAAATGGATAAACAATGAGATAGTCTAGAAATGGAAGTACAAACTAGATTAGGATTAGCATGCAGTACAAACCTTATTCAACATATTAAGGGT